CCGCATTTCCTGTGCCCCAGTGTATGTAGTTGCTTTCTCATCCGTCTCTTAATTTTTAACCCATATTAGTATCGTTCCTCGAGGAGGAAATGAGCCCAGCGAGGACGACTAAGTACTTTCCGAGACTCCCAGAAAGGCTGCATCCGATGCTGTCTTCCTGGCTGAAGAACATGAACAAGCTCTCAGATCTCATTTACCGACTTCAGGAGCTTGCGTCCGCTGCTCCCTTAAACCATAGGCCTCAGCTCATCAGGCAGGTAGGTGAGTTACAGGCAGTCTTCAAGAGGCAACAAGACCGCTGCGTCGAGTTTCTACAGCTCTCCGAAGCGTACGCATACCGATACCTGCTGGATATCTCGGCCGAGATTCGACGGCAGAGCTCCTTCCTTGAAATACTGGAAAAGCGGCTGGACTTGACAAAGACATTGCGTGATAAGGCTGTTGATCTGCAAAGGTCGTATGAATTGGGAACGATGGATGCAATGAAGCATGTTCACAAGACAGGTGATCGTCCCATTTCTTTGTTTCCATTGACAGGTACTAACATATCGATCTAAGCGTTGTCGCCGCCGCTCCCCGAAGACTTTGATCTATTCAGCGAGGTTGGCTTTGTGCTCGTTGAGATTCGGCGATGCTACATGGAGCTGGGAAAATTCTGGAGGGAGGAAATATGCCGTGCAATCAAAGTGCTTGAGACCCGACACGTCACCTCCGATGATGTGGAGCGGTGGAGAGGCTTCAAGGCAAGTCTTGAGAAAACCATTCAGTCCTGGAAGGTATTGTCATCCGTTTTCGCTCTGCACAGAGAACAGACCGACTCTTTCAGAATAACAAACAAGATGGCAGTATCTGGAACACATACCATAATCATCCGCCAGGCTCCTCCGTTCGTCCGTTTCCCCACCTACTTCACCTTCCGTTACTTAACACCATACAGGGTGCCGACATCGGGGCGATAGCTTCGTCGTTATCCTCCGCGTCAAGAATACTTGAAGAGGCACTGCGGAGAGTCCGCGACAGTGCTTCCATGGAATTCTCATACACGAGCCTGGCTCTTGTCCTTCAAGTTAATCTGGGACTAACGCAGAACAGCGAGTCGTGCCTTGCCTTCCTGCGTCTCTGTGTCGACTTGGGGGAGGTGGTTGTTGCATCCCCCGCTGCATTAGTTGCCTACCCTACTTCCTCTCGTGTAGAAGCTTCGAACAATCTGCAGGGCCGTGCGACGGCACTGAGGACAGAGGCTGTGGACGTCCTAGATGAGAACGCCGCTCATCACCCAGGTCTGTCGCCGTTCAAAGTTAATGGCATCGAACACATTTGTGCTGACACGTCGTCGTTCCCTCTTCCAACCCACTACCAGGCTCACGGAAGTTCAACGCCATGCATAAGCAGTCCCTATCTTTGCACCGAGAGATGACACTCGAGCTCAACACTTTGCTCGAGAGTGTCCTATCTTGGATCGTGACCGCAGACCATCTCCCAGATGCGCCCCAAGGTGGATTCAACATCGGGCTGCTTCGTAGCCTGGCAGATGCATGGGAAAAAGAGCGAGCCTCCATGCGCATGGCATTGGCGGCTCTGACGGACGATCCAGCTGAAAGGCTACGCTATCGCACCCTCTCCCTGTCTTCGCCACATTCACGCCCTTCCATTACACGATGGATGATGCGTCTGGTCCACCTAATACTACGGTTCCCCTCCTAAACTATATAGCGGCAACATGCGAGTGGCCAGAGAAACCGTAGACAAAGAACAAGATAAACGAGATCAAGATCAAGTTTGCGCTGAGGACACGAGTACAAGTCCACGAAGACCCAGATACACACTCCCAGCGCTGGCGTCTAAGGACAGAGGGCGTGTTGTTATTGTGGATGCAATCATCCCGGAACGGAGGATGTCCATGTGGGTTACATGCCACTTGCAGCCATGTACCCAAAGTACACTATGATAGATCGAGAAGAAAGAAATACGTCTTAGACCACTTTCCTTGAGTTTCTATATTTACCGTTTATCTTATGGACTCGCTTTTTATCACACCTGCTGAGTCGGACACCGGAATAGGTATGAGGGCCGGTGTGAAGTGGGGAGTGAGGGAGCGGAAAGGCATCAAGTTAGCCATATCGCAGCGCCTGTGAATGAGTCTTCCGTCAAAGGTTCCCTTGTACGTTTGCTATAGAGCAGAATGTTGAAGTGACAAAGTTCCTTGAGTCCGCTTTGCCAACGGGCTCCCACTGGAGGACCATGTTCTGTGTGATGACCTTTATGGAGCATTACAATCAATACTCCGCAACGAACGAAGTTTTGACGTTGGTGCGTGTGGATGCCCACGGTTGTAATGATGTGCTAAGCAAATGAGAAAAAACATAGCTCGTCTATGACGACGTACAGATAAGTTCTACAAGGGCGAAACCTCTACGTGAGATGACCACTAGCAATACGCAGCGATGAACACGGTGCATGATTTCTAAGAACTGGCGTGTTATTGAGGGAAAGGGAGCTGCGGGTCTTAAAAGAACTTACTATACTTAGGAGCAATCACGGAGCGACACATCGAGATAGCGAACAACGACATCTTGGATCATGAACCACCACCGAATATAGGGCGCAGGAGGTAGCGAAGAATTCCGCCAGCCTTGGCCGATTGCTTCGGAATATCTTTTCTGCTTCTTCGAGTACTTGGCAAGCTCTTTCACCGTAGAAAACACCCGAACTTTATCTGTGTGCTGAACCAGATCAACGAGGTTGACGTGCTTTGACTTGACGGCCTGCGTAGTAACAAGTGTGAGGATGGATCTGATACCGACGCATGTGGCAGATGTTCTCACACCTTTCGACAGGCCTTGATATCCTCGGGAACTGGATCGATTTTGAGGACGTGGCACAGGACTCGCCAATGTTCGATATCGTCGATGTTCGTCCCGTACATGGCATTGAAGTCCTCTGCTAGTGCGTCGGCAAACCTTTCGCGGGCTTCGGTGTACTCGTCATCGCCATCCTTCCAGCGTTTCAGCTTTTTCAGCCTCAAAAATTCCTTCGTTACAGCTGCGTCCTCATTGAGCGTGAAGTTCGAGTATGATGAGAAAAATAGGGCCACTTTGGACATCGCGCCGTAGGATTTGGTGGATAGTGGGCGGTGGGTGGTGGGAGAGAAACGGGTGGCGTAGGGGAGCCACTGACAATGAGGCGAACCCCCTCCGATAACACGCCATGTCACTTCGTGCCCACTCTTCACAGCTGCCGGGTTAACCCATAGCCTCACTCTAAGGCCTCTCCCGAAGCGTAACCTAATACGTCTTCAGCTTCAGCACCAAACAGGGTAGCGAAGCATTGGGCACTTTTCTCAGGGCAGGTCAGGCTTGCGCCGGGACCCTGTGCCAGAGATCTAAGCTGAAACCCACACTTACTGGGCCATCATGGGCAAAACCCTGTACATTGCAATAGCAAATTGCAACAGCACGGAGAAGGTCAGATACGCCCGAGAACCATGTAGTAACCACACCAGGGCCCTGGAAAATAGGCGCAAGGGGGCAAATGAGACGAGAGCGCGTAAGACATAAACGTTGCATAAACGTGCATAAACGTGGATGCGTTTGAACACGTGATCAATGTTGTCCCATCTCACGCGTACGAGAGGGAAGGGGCATCAAATCGCAACTCTATGTGGGTCACCGTATAACTGTGACGTCAGAGCAGGTCACTCGCTTCGGCTGAACCGCACCCCTCTTATCCTTTCAACAAACCATGCCAGTCGAACTCAAGGGAAGTTGCCACTGCGGTGCTGTGGCCTTCACGGTCCAGTCTAGCACCCCAGTGCCATATCAGCTTTGCATGTGCTCCATCTGCCGCAAAGTCGGTGGTGTAGGTGGATCGATCAACATCGGGGCGCATGCGCACACCCTCCAAATCACCAAGGGGAAGGAAGCCATCTCGTGCGAACGATTTCCACTTCTCTTCTTTGTATGGTTGATGAGACGCGCATGCATGCGCGTGGTTGGGGAGAACAGGATCTATAAAGCCGTTTTGGACAGGGACACACCGCAGGAAAGGCGTGCGTCGTCGGAGCGGCATTTTTGCTTGAAATGCTCGGCGATGCTCTGGCTATGGGACGAAACTTGGTACTTGCAGACGCTTCTCTTGACGATGGATGTCCATTGACTCGAATTGGTATTAGGCCAGAGCTGTTGCACCCTTTCGCTTCTGCGATCGACGAGCCGGGGTTAAAGGTGCCTGAAGAGATGGTGGGTTGTCATCCGCATCGACTTTTCCTGCGACTAATACGGGGAATCGGGTCATTCTGTATAGACGGTGCTCCTGACAGGATCGGCACCAACTTATGTGCGCTTGCCCGAAGGCAAGAAGAAGGTTTATGAAGAATACCCTCAGGCGTCGCTGGAAGAGTGGCACAAAGAACACAACGAGTATGTTGAGTAGAGGAACTGGACTTGGAATGCGGTCACATTCTCCTAGATTCGTTGGGCTTGGCTACAGACGACGTACTGTGGACCCTCTCCACGAGATTGTCATCAATTCTGGCTTTTGAACATGTCCTCTAGTTGTCCTCTAGTATTCTGCGTGCGATTCATTGCTGACAATATAATGGGGCCCGCGTAGTTGTGAATAACCCTACCAAAAGTCTACGGCACTGGCATTCTGAAAGACTACTGTACGCTTAAGAGCACAATATATGAAATCATTAATGTGGGGCACGCGCAACTGCAACCCCCTCAACGGCTTGAGTAAGTGCAGTGGTCTGCAGTCACACCGTACTGACATCGAATAGCTGTGTCAAGTACATGTATGAGAATTTGGCGCTTTCACGCAACAGAGTGTTGTGGCAGTCCAATGTATTAACGTCTCGCAAAGAAGACTGAAGACCCGGGGGTAGATGCCATGCACTGGCAGATGCACTCATGGCATCAATGGCCTAGGCATCGGCTCTCGTGAACATATTAGGCCAACGTTGCAGCGTTATATAGATTAAATGGCGCCGATCGGGGATCGGTAGCGTGGCCGAGTGGTCTAAGGCGCTGGGTTTAAGTATGTCTACTCGACTTCCAGTGGGGTCAAACCCGCGTGAGTTCGAACCTCACCGCTACCAGGTATTTCTTGTTTTTTCGTTGCTTATCGCGACTTCCGTCCCAATTCCAGATGCCTCTTCTGTCCTGCGACGATCGAGGCAGAGAACCTCTGAGTTGTGCGCTCACCTCTGGGCTGAGAAACGCACGATAGGTGATAACAATGTCCAACCTCTCCAAGCTCTTCTCATCGACTTTACCGGTGCTAATTGACGGCGGTTTGGTACATCGTTATGCTTTTACCGTATATAAGACTGACCGTGGGGGTGATGTCATCTGTAGGGGTCGACACTTGAAGATGTGTTTCAAGTCGATACGGCCTCATCGCTTTGGTCCTCGGAAGCTCTAGCCAAAAACCCCCCATCCGTTGTTGAGGCTCATCTCATGTTCTTACGAGCCGGAGCACGTCTTATCGCAACCGCGTCGTGAGTGATTGTTTATGTGGCCTCGACTTTCGCTTTATTCGCCATTCGCGATAGTTATCAAGGTTCATTCAGCACCTACGCAAGAGCGGGTTACTCCAAAGACGACGCCACACGTCTGATGCGCTCATCCGTCGCGCTCGCCGCCGAGGCACGCAGCCGATTTGCGGCAGAGGCTCAAGTCTCAATCGACAGCATCAAGATCGCACTCTCGCTCGCCGGGTATGGCGCCTCGCTGCCCCTGCCCCACGAGTTCGACGGCTACTACCCGCCGCCGTACGGCCCGCAGGCGCACACCCACCCACCAGACCCCGCGCGGCCGAACCGGAACGCATACCGCGCGGACGAGCGCGCGCAGGAGGCGCAATCCGAGGACGCGCTCGCGGCGTTCCACCTCGAGCGCCTGCGCGCGTACGCCTCGGACGCCGAAACGTGGCGCGCCGTCGACGCGCTCGCGTTCGAGACCGTCCCGCTCGCGCGCGAGGTGAGGGCCATCCGGCGCGCCGTCGCGGCGCTCGAGGACGAGCTCGCCCCGCCGGGGGTGCGCAAGCCGTGGTGGGTCTGCGTCGTCTACAGCGGCGGGGGCGAATTTCCCGAAGAGCGCGCTGCGGGCGGGGGCGGGCGGGGGCTGGAGGCCAAAGACGTGCTCGCGGCTTACTTTGATGACCTGCCCGCTGCAGCCGCAGCTGAGGATCATCGAGGAGGAGGCGGCGGTGGCGCGCGCTATGCGGTGCCGGACGCGTTCGGTATCAATTGTACGGCGGTGGCGCATGTCGCAGGTGCTGTCGCGGCTGCGGGCGATGCGCTTGCACAGTCCGGCGCCGCGCGCGTGAGCGGCGAGTTACCCTGGCTCATCCTCAAACCGAATGGCGGGCAGACGTATGATATGGACGTGCGTGAATGGGGCTGGCACGGCGGGGAGACGCGCACACAGGGAGAGGATTGGGCTAGGCAACTCGGCGACATCGTGCGTGCGGCGACTGCGATGGGCGTTTGGGGCGGCATTCTCGTCGGGGGGTGCTGTAAAACGGGAGAAGAAGAATTGCGTGCGTTATCCAGGATACTTTGAGCGCAGATCTACGTTGGCGATGTGTCGGGTGATAATCTCTCTTATGCTATCTTGCACGGCCTCCCGACACTGTGCTGACTGTATAGTAATAGGGTTCGATAAACGGATTGTGAGTAATGCGTTCGCTCGGTGAGAAGACAGTGGCTCCCACTTGTTTGCAAATCAGTGGCATGGTTTGGTGTCGGGGACTATGATGTGAAATGGTACAAAAGCGGTCCTCGATCTGATGCGCTACCAATTTATATTATAGTGGACCGACACATAGGTTCGGATTGAGGGATGCCCAACAGAAGCTATGAGCGATGGCGCCAACGTCCAAGGAAATAGCTCCGGCGGGATGTACTCATAAGATGCAGACGGTTTATTGTTAGAACCACGACACCACATAAGTGCGTTAACTGTCCATTCGTTCCTCAGTTGTTCTGTCAATTACAGTCACTGAGGGTAAACTACGATATCGTTACTTGTCCGTTACAACGTTACTGATCTACTTAGTCCATAGTCCATCATTAGGTAGATATTCTGTCCGCCATTACAGTCACTGAAGCTCCCGCTTGGCCCTGGCATATGAGGGATAAACTGGCGCGTAGTTCAACTTTGCTCCGACAGCCAGTGCATTCTTCTGGAACTCGGCAAACGCGTCATCTCCAGCATTGATCGCGAAACCATGCCCTTGCCGCAGTGGCTGGCTGGCGTGTCCGCAGCCTGCCGACAGTGCATCCAGATGGTGTCATTCTAAAGAATCGATCAGAAAGGTCAGTCGGATCATGTTTCGCGAGGAATCACATCTGAATGGAGAGAAGCTCACGCTGGTCAAAGTAAGATTCCATACGGGGAGGTAGTCCGCGGTCGCGCCCTTCGGGACAGGCTGGCTGTGGGAGAGGGAAGGAGGGGGCGCATTAAATACACCACGTGTGAGACATGGGAATGTCAAGACGCACAATCCGGAATCGATTCCATGATACTTAGGTGTGCACGCATCATAAATGGACTCGGACTCGGTCACGGTGTGGTTGTTGATAACAAAGGTAAACTCGACGATGTCTCCTTCGGTCGCGTTCTGGAAGAGAGAAGTTGTCAGCGGGACGGTATGGTCAAGGCGACTGATTGTTTGCTGACAATGCGAGGGGGCTCAAAGACAAGAGCCCCTGTGCTGTTGCTGACTTGGACCTTGTATACCGCGTGGTGGCCCTGGTGGGCAGCGGCTGAAGAGAGCAGGGCAAGGCCGCCGAACAACGCAAAAGAGCGGAACATCATGTTGACTTGAAAAAATGGAGAGACGAAAAGAAGCGTAAGGTAGAAAGAGAGGAGACTGATGAAGATAAGCAAGTGTCAGCCCAGCGTATCTTATAGCAAAGTGCGGGTCCATTTACAGCCTCTATGCGCTCGTTTCCCAATTGCCCGACAGTGTGGTCCGAGGGTAATTTCCTTCGGCTAAGTTCGGATGCACAGTAGCGTACAGCATGACCTCGGCGTGGCAGTGAGGCTATCACGTGGGCCACGGCCATGTAAACCCTACAAGCCGCTACCGCGCTACCTTTCGATCTCGGCAAGTTGGTGTTCATATGCTGTGCGTGGCCGGTAAGCGCGGTAAGCGCCGGTAAGCCCTCAAGCCTCAAGCTTCAAGGCCTCAAGCCCTAGATGAACACAGACGGATGACGCCTGCATTGTATTGCACGAGCTTTTGCTTGGTCCAGCATAGCTAACGGCGTGCTTAGAGCGCACCACCGATAACAGATAGAATCCCGTACAGTATCCGGTTCAACGGCAATGACAGCCTCCGACATGCAGGGTCGGGGTCCTCGGGCATGACGGTCAACTCAAGAGCCTCGCATACTCAACTCGAGAGCCTCGCACAGGTCGAGGAACGCCATCGCATAGACGTCGATTGTCGGCGAACGGACCGCATTCAACCACTTTTCGCGAACCAGACATTGTCTGACACACCTATAGACCCGGAGAAGCATCAGCGCCAGCAGAATTCCACGATCTCCCGGGGCGTCTCAATGTGCGCTATCACTACTCCTTGTGCCGCCGTCACCGTAACCTGTGTCCAGGTTGACCTGCATCGTAATGCGCATCGGCGCGCTATTATATAACCACGCCGACCCTCTCGCAGGCGGCGGCGGCGCTGCTGTTTGCTCTTGTCATTCTTAGTGAGTTGTTATATATGCTTCTTTCCTTTCGGTTTTCGTCGGTGTACTGTAGTGCGGCAAGTGCAAGCAAGGTGCAGCCGAGTTGTGCTTCAGTAAGCAGAACTTTCCTTTTTTTTTTTTTTTGGAAAGCGCTTTATTCTCCGCATAGCCGACGCCGAACCACGATCGGACATGGAACCGCCCGCACACCGAGACGGCCGAGATCTGACCATTGCTGTACTCACCACTGCTCTTTGCGGGATCTTTACAGCAAGTCAGAAAATGCGATACTGAGCAAGCGGAGAGAAGTGAGAGCAAACCTCGATGTGCTTGTAGGATGGCGAGCGGACCCTCGTAACCCAGTCTCAAAGAGCATGTGACCATCCCGTTTGCATCCCCGAGCCCAAGACGGTCCTGGCGAGCCCCAAATGCCAGATGCCGTGCTACCCAGGACATCAGTCGCAGAGCAGCTCTCGCACTCGCACTTGCGCCAGAACTGGTACTCGGCAGCGGGGGAGATCCGACTCGGGGACAGCCCGCCGGCAGCCCGAAACCCAAAAGTACTCTCCGAGACAGAAGAAAAGATAGAAAAAGAAAGGATAAAAAAAGCGTGGTTTGCAGTAGGTTGTTGTTGTTATCATGATGGTGCGCCACGGCCGTGTTGTCTAGTGTGCGGGGCGCGAGAGCGAAATGAGAAGCCGGGCAAGCCCGGGAGAGGCGCAATTTTTGCAGCCGCACACCAGACCCCGCGAGGCTGAGCCTGGAACGCATACCGCGTGCACGAGCACGCGCAGGAGGCCAAAGACGTGCTCGCGGCGTATTTTGATGACGTGCGCGCTGCTGCCGCGCGCTATATGCGGTGCCGGACGCGTTCGGTATTATCAACTTGTACGGCGGTGGCGCATGTCGCGGGTGCTGTTGTCGCTGTGCGGATGCGCTTTGCACAATCCGGCGCCGCGTGCATTGCATGAGCGGTGAGCTGCCCTGGCTCGCCCTCAAACCGAATGGCGGTCAGACGTGTGATATGGATGGGCGTGCGTCTTGGGGGTTGGTACGGCGGAGAGACGCCGTGACGCGCACACAGGGAGAGAATTGGGTTAGGGAACTCGGTGATATCGTGCGTACGGCGACTGCGGTGGGCGTTTGGGGCGGCATTCTTGTCGGGGGGTGCTGTAAACAGGGAGGAGATGAATTGCGTGCATTGTCCAGGATACTTTAAGCGAAAATGTATGTTGGCAGTGAGTCGGGTGAGAATCTCCCTTATGCGGGTCTCCCGACACTGTGCTGATGCTGACTGTATAGTAAGGGAGAAGAAGGGTTTTGACAGCGCGCTGGATTACGACGACCACAATAACATGATGGAAAGAATCACGACACCACATAAGTGCGTTTACTGC